GGAACAGACCCAGTAGGAGTGCATTGGGTTTGGTTTGTGCCTATTCTAAAAAGAGCCTGGTGATGTAGTGGGCTACTCTGGGCTACTGATCATAAGGTCAACAGTTCAAAACTACCAGCTCCTCCAGGGGGGAAAGATGGGGCTTTCTACTCTTGTCAAGAGTTAGTCTCAGAACCCACAGGGATCAGCTCTTAGTGGCCCCGCAGAACCCTGTGATCATGGAAACGTTCATGCAATCAGAAAGCCTCCTTGTTCTCCTGCAGAGCGGCCGGAGATGCCCAAGTGCTGGCCTTGCGGGTGGCAGCTCAGGGTGTGGCGGCAGTGGGTTCGATTGGGTTTGGGGGGGCCTTGCGTGGACGGCATCAGATTCCACGTGGGATGCGAGGTGAGCAGAGTTTGGGGCAGATATCTGCTCTTCTGAGCCCCGCTGGTCCTGAGCATGGGTCCTGCTGTCCGGTTCCCACGCCAACAGATAGCTCAGCCCTGGAACAGTCTCTCCTTCCAACTCTGCCCAGTCACCCTCAGGCTGTGGTTCCTAGAAGGGGGCAGCCTGTGGCCAGCGCAATGAGCCAGGGCCTCCTGCGGACACCATCACAGAGGATGGTGTTCCCAAAGACGGTTTGAATGTGCAAGTTAATGAAGTTCAGAGAACACAAGCCAGGGACCTTGCTTCTTCCGACCACCCCACCCCCCACCCCCCACCCCCGCTTGCTGGGTTTAGAATTACCCTTCTCCACTCTCTTCCTCCTTCCCCTCTTCCTCCCTCAGAAGAAGCCAAGTGACCTGATGGGGGCGGTGGGCGTGGTCTTGGGCAGGGTCCAAGGAGGTCTGATACTTGGAAGTGCAAACCTCACATCCCACTATTCCTCTCCCTTGGTCTGCTTTGGGCCAGGGCAGGGAGAGGCGAGAGGGGGAGATTGCAAAAACATGGAGTGGGGTGGCAGGAGGTGAGATTGGATTGAGAATAGAAATGGGGGAGGGGCTATCTGACAAAGGGAAACAAATCTTGGGAGTACTAGGCAAAGATCTGTATGTGTGTGCAAATGCATGTGTGCAAGACTGTGTGTGAGTGTGCACGCGCACGTGTGCACGTGTGTGTGGATCAATGGGTATGGGTAGGTGTATGTCGGAGCATCTGGGTTTACCTGGGGAGAGACAGACTATCAACCAGTCCCCCAGTGGAGACTTTTCCCATCCAGCCAGCTGTCCTACCCGAGGAAACAGAGGCTGGCTGTGGGTTAAGTCTCCAGGCCAGCCTGGTGCTAGACCTTTGGCCTCTGATCCAGGGCTCGTCCCACTAGGGTTCTGGGCAGAACTGGGAGGCCTCTGAAAGAGAGACTTCACGCCCACACGCACCCCACACCCCCATACCCCGTGTCCACCCATGCCCCCTCTGGCCCCAGCTGGCTGTGCGGGCAGTTGAGGAGGGTCTGGAAAGGAGGAGAGGGCGTGAGGCTCGATATAGAGTTCAGGTGCCTGGGTCCCTCCTTTTCTGCCCATGTGGATGCCCTGCCCGGCCAGAATGTGCCACCCTGGGGACTGGCATTGGCAGCAGCCTCTCTGTGGCTCTCCTTCCAGACCAAGCCTGAATGTGGAGGCCCTTCTGATGGAGGCATGGGTGTCACCAAGGAGCAGGGCAGAGTCTGAGCCCACCCAAATCCTGGGCTGCCCCTGCTTGCCCCTCCTCAGTCTCCCCACCTTGGAAAGGGGAGTGAAAAATCAGACATTCTATCTGTGCTTGGGAAAGAGTGGGGGGTCCGGTGCAATTCCTCTAAGCTTCCCTAGTCTCTGTGCGGGGAGAGCAGGGCTTGACCCTGGTTCTGCTCCAGACTGCCCATCCTGGGAGGGGAATCCGCTGCCCTGAAGTTTGGGGGAGGAAGGGAAAGAGGGTGCAAGGACAGAAGAGAACCGCTGCCCCAGAGCAGACATTCCTGATGACTCAGAGGCTTGGAACCCCTTGAGAGGCCGAGGGACAGCCCCCTGGTCAGCTGGGGCAGAGGAGGCCTGGGGCTTGGGGGCAGGGAGGCCCTGTGAAGCAGAGCAGGGAGAGGCCTCTGGCCTGGGAACCGGGCTGGAGGGGAGGTCGTGGAGTGGTGCTGAAGGAGGGGGCACCCTGTGACTCCCCCTCTCCCAGCCTAGCTATAAATAATGCAGCAAGAGGGATGGAGGTCAGATGTTACAGAGGACGCCTCCCCCAAACCTTCAGAGAACTCCCTTCTTTAGGACAACTTGTAAAGAAAGAGATGTCCTGTTTCTATCTTTCCCTGGGGCTGGGAGTAACACTCTCCTTCCCTGACAGGCAGGGGGATGCCTGTGGTGACCTCCAGAGAGCCTCCATTGCTTCTGGCCTGGACTTCCAAACTCCCCCAAGCCCTCCATCCCCTTCCTTCTGGTGTTCTGCTCTGGAGGGAAGACAGCAAGTGGCCCAGACTGGTGGGGGTTGGGGGGGGAAAGTTGCACATCAGAGAAGTGGGACCTCATTCATTGCTCCCTCTAGCCTGTCTGACAGGGACAGCTCTGAGCCCAGGGAGGGGCCTGAGTCACTACCGCCCTTCCTCCCCCAGCTGAAGATGCAGTTCAGCCTCTGTCTACGTGGCAGGCCGGCAAAGGGGGGCCTGCGAGGGAGGGGAGCTGGGAATGAGGTCAGCGGGTTGGATGGGCCAGGCCAAGGCGAAGGCATCTGGGCTCCAGCAGTCTGGAAGGCCGGCCCCTCCCAGCCCTTGCCGCCCACCGGGCTTCTTTCTCTCCCGGCTCAGCTCCTGGCTCCTCCTGCAGCCCTCGCTCCACCCAGGCCAGATGGTTCCCATCAGGCCTCTTCCATGTGGCAGGTTCCACCCTGCCCACCAGGCTCCCCTCCCCCTCTGGCCACATAGCTCAGCAGAGAGCTGGGAGCAGTGCTCTTGCTCGGTCCCCATCCCCCAGGGCTGCATTGGTATAAGGTGGAGTCCCGGGCCATACCAGCTCCCCAAGCCCTGGTTGCTTCCAGGGGCCCCTCTATCCTGCAGGACCTCCAAGTGCAACTCCCTCTCAGCTGTGCCCTGTCAGGCAGGGCACCGCCTACCCCTGGGCTCATCAGTACAGGCAGAGCTCACAGTTTCTTGCCATCTAACGTTTCTGATTCTGTACCCTGCCCACCTTGGGGTTCTACAGGGGAGCCAGAAGGTTCTGCAGCCCAAGAGAGCTTGGCCTCTAATTTTAAAGGCATCGTCAGCTGTGTCTACCTACTTGTCTACCCACTTGCCTACTCTTTGTCTTCTTGTCCCCAGATCCCCAGGGCCCACTCATGTCCCTTGGCACCCCTCCCCTTTCCCCAAGGCCCCCTGAGTCAATCTTTAGGCCATCACTTGGCCTTGCTCAAAAGCAGCCAGTGGGCCCCTACAGCCACGAGCCGGAGCACCAATGCCTCTCTGGAGTCCCAGGCCTCTGGAAGTTGGCCCAAGCTGAAAGGGTTAAGCACTTGGTTGTTAACTGCAAGGTTGACAGTTCAAGACCAACTAAGCTCACAAGGCCATTCTCCTTGATCACAGAGGGACCCTGTGAGTTAAAAAAAAAAAAAAATTCAACTCAACAGCCATGGCCAGCCTCAGAAAAGGGCCAGCCCACCTTTCCAGCCTTACTGTCCACTTTCCCTTGTTTAAGACCTTGCCCCTGCTCTCCCTCTCTCAGGCTTGCCAAGCTCGGTGGTACCCTCCCCGAAACACCATGCCCCTCTCTATATTCAAATCCTGCCAGGCAGGCCCAGCTCAGCAACAGCCTGACTGCCCCCCCTCATCCACTGACCACCTCTGACGTCTTTCCAGAGGCTTCTGTTCACTGAGTGCGACGTAGGCCATCCGGGGCCTTCTTGTGACTGCCTGCTTCTCGGACTGGGAAAATGAGGTGCAGAGAGATGAGGCAACTCTGGCAATCACACCGCCACAGCTGGTGCTTATTCTCCTGGCGCCCAGGCTCTCTAGAGACAGGACCCTAACGCTCCACATTGCCCAGCACAGATCTGGCCCAGCAAGAGCTGCATCTCTTGACAGAATTGACGGGGTCTTCAATAGACCCCAAACAGTTCAGGATCTTCCCCCCCTGCCCCCTACCCCGCCACAGGGTCCTTGTCCCAATTCCTCTCTACCAGGGTACCACACCACCCCGATCCTCACCACACCCTGCCCCAGCCCCTGTCACATCCAACCCAGTCCCCAACCCTGTGGCTGGCAATTGTTGTCAGTCGGTTTGACTCCCAGCCACCTCCGGGGACAGGGCGCCACTACTCTGGGGGGCTTTTTAGGCTGTCATCTTTACCAGAGCCACTCTTTTCTCCTGGGAGTCGTGGGGGGCTTTCAGACCACCCAGCTTTGGGTTAGCAGCCAAGAACTTGAGTGTTGTGTTCCTAAGACGCTATCGATGCAACCCAGACCCCTGTCAAGTCTGCCCCTCAAAGGGTCCTTGAAGCCACCCTCCTTTCCTCTGTTTCAATCTCCATCCACCTGGTCCTGGCGGATACCAGTTCTCACACGGGGGTGACTGGAGCAGTCATTAGTCTTCCCCTTTCCATCCAGAGCTCCTCCTGGGCCTACTCCACTAGTGACCCTGCTGGGCTTCCACACTGACGGTCAGATGGCGACCTTCTCCTGCTGCAGGCCCCTCCATGGAGGCAATGGCTCGAAGGACACAAGGTCAGATCCTAGATGTAGCTTCTCAGTGGCCTGCTCAGCCTGCGCTTCCCCAGCTCCGGCCACACAGGACTTCCAGAGCTTGCCCCCTCCCTCCTGCCCCAGAGCCTTTGCTCATGCCTACCACACCCCTACACACCCCACCCTGCCACCTGCCCCTAACTGTGAGCTCTGCATTCATCTCCCCGGAGGTGGACTTGATGTGTGATTTCACAAATGTCCTTCTCCTTCACCAAAGGAAGGGCCTGGAGGACAGCTCCTGGGTCTGATTTGTCCACCCCTGGATCTCTGGTGCCCAACTAAGAGCCTGCTGGAAAGCTCCGCCGAACCAGGGCTCACCTGCAAGACGTCGTCGGGAAGGCGGCCCTCTTGGGGAGAAGGTAGGACCATGTTCGCTCTAGAGAATGTTTTCTAGGTCCAACCCAAAGGGGTGCTCCACCGAGGGGCTGATGCATGACCCAACAGGGATCCCCCCTGCCCTTCCCATCCCCAGAAGACCCTAGAATCCCAGGTTCACCTGGAGGAACGGTGGCTGGTAGAGAAGAGGAGCGGTGACATATGTGGCCAAGGCTTAGCTGGGGAGTGGGGTGAAGGAAGGAGAGAGTCAGGGGCCACACAGGGGCCTTGGCCTCACAATCTGTCCCCTCTTTTTTTTTGTTTTAGGTCTCAAAGAAACCTTCAGCATCTGTCTCCTGAACACAACAGCTGGTTGTGAGGCAAGTTGGTGCCCCTGCCTCCTCCTGCTCTGGTACTGCCACTTTCTCCTCCATGGTTACAGCCCAGAACACCACCCCCCAAGGATGGCTGGAGGGGACTCAGGGATCCCGGAAGATGATGGGAGAGAAAAAGGAGTGAGAGAGTGAGTGTGAGAGTGGCCAGGTGGGCGGGAGAACAGGCCAGAGGCAGAGGAGAGAGAGAAAGGAGCTTGTTTAAAAAGAAGACAACTAAACGAGGGAGGAGGAGATCTCCGGGGGAGGGTGGCAAGGAAAGAAAGGCTAAAGGAACAGCAGGGAAACACAACAAGAGAGGAAGGGGCTGGGGAGGTGCAGAATGCAACCACACCAGACCAGAAAGGGGCACTTGCCAAGGGGCAGGACATCTGAAGGACAGCGAAACCCTCCAGCACACTATTGTCACGCTGGGCACCTGACACTGACATTCGCCAGAGCCCATAGGACTTCACAGAACAAAGAGTCGACCCCAACGAAAACCACGGACTGAGGCACTAAGAAAAGATCGGTATGGCTTTGTGGGTTGTAGCAGACGTACCACGTGGCTGTGGGCTGTCGATACTAGGAGATGTGTGCAGGGGGAGCCGGCGTACACGGGAACCCGACTTCCTGGGCATTCTTTCTGTCCTAAGAAATAAAGTATACTTTTAAAAATCAATTAATTCACTCGACTCACCTTGAACGAGAATCTACTCTGCCTTCCGAGGCCCTGGCTGGTGCAAAGGGTTCAGTGTCGGGCTCCTCGCTGGGAGGTTGGTGGTTTGAAAGTACCCAACAACTTCTTGGAGGAAAGGCTAGGGGATTTCCGCCAGAAAGGTCACTGCCATTGCCGACCCCGTGTGCAGCTCAGTGCTGAGACACGGGGAGGAGAGCTGTGTGCTGACATCGACTCACGGGAAACTGGTTTGGAGGACACATAGGAGCGGGCAGGTCTCTGCTTAGGGGGCTCACACACCAGCAGGAAAGAGGGGCCCTCCCCAACAGCTCACTCCCCACCAAGCCCAACATCATCCCCATCCAGCTGATGGGGGAACTGGACTGGGCCTGGGGGGCAGCCTCGGAATGGCCAGCCACACCGGTTCCTTCCTGAACACATTTCCCCTCTGGGACTGGACTGGCGGAGCTGTCCAGAGCCTGGGGCAAGGGATCTGGCCAAGACTGCAAATCAAGCCTCATCTCCAAGAACCTGGACTCAGGGCCAGCTCAAGAGGAGAATGAGGTGGGGTCCTGGATGAGGCGAGGGCCTGTGAGCTCAGACAAGAAAGTGGGGAAGGAGAGCAAGGGAAGATGAAGGAGGTCCAGAGAAAGGGGCTGCAGTGCAGGGCAGGGTGCAATAGGACGGACAGACGGATGGATGGAGAGCCACACTGCAGAGAGGGAGAAGGGAGGCGGGGCAGGAAGAGAGCCAGGTCTACGGGATCACACTGGCACACAGAAAGAAGACAATTCACAAGGGGAAAGAAGGATGGGGAGACAGCTACTCTAAGGAGCTGCCTGCCCTCTGACCCCACTTCCTCCCTTCCCACTCACTCCTCGGCCGGCCCCCTCTGTCTTCTGTCATGACCTCCAAACCAGCTCACACTTGGGCGTCTATCACGCTGTGTGGCCTTCCTGCTGGTCATGCTAGCCCTCTCTGCAGAATATATTCCCCTCCTCCAGAACAGTCTCTTCCCCTCTGCCCCTCCTCTCCTTGTCCTCTGTCCACTCTTTTCCAGGATCCAGCTTGGGCTATCTCCTACGCTGCCCCCAAACCCCAAACCATCCAGGTGGCACGTGGTAAACGGGGACAGAAGGAGAGCGGAGCTGGGCCTGAGGCTGTGAAGGGTGGCCTTTGGGAAGCAGGTTGCCACCAGGTGTTTCTTCCGAAGCTCCTTTCGCTTAGAAGCCCGGCATTGACCTTCTCCCCGAACCAAACAATCCCCTTGGAGATTCACAGCAAACTTATCAGACAGAGGAGAGCACCCCATAGGTCTTTCCCAGCCACACCTTTTGGTGGGTTTGACCTGCTGTCCCCTGTACCACCAGGTCCTGTCTGCCTTCCCTCAAACTCACCGCCGCCGAGCGCAGGCCGACGCACAGCCATCCCACAGGACAGGGTAGAACTGCCTCTGTGAGTTCCCGAGACTGTCACCCTTTTTTTTTTAAGTGATGTATTTGTTTTATTAGTATCATTATTTTATTATTATTATTATTACTTGAATCATTTTATTGGGAGTCTGTAACTCTTGACAGGAGTAGAAAGTCTCATCTTTCTCCCGAGGAGTGGCTGGCAGTTTCGAACTGCTGATCTTGAAGTTAGCAGCTCAACACATAACCCAGGGCTCTGCACAATCTTTAGACACTGAGAACCCTCGCGGCCTGGTCCTAGAGCTCCTCCTCTCTCCTGGCTTCCTGCTTTGCCCATAGTCACCTCCGTCCACACGGAGGGCTCCAGGCACCATCAGCTTGGCATCCAGCCTGTGTCTCTCTGATGCAGCCCCGGAGCCCCGAGGCACCGAAGAGTGGACAGAACGGAAGCCACCGTCTTCCCTCTACCTCTGAAAGGAAGGTTGGGGACATGGAGGGGGATCTCAGAGGCTGCAGGACAGAGCCTACAAAGGGCAGAGCTGTGCCTGCAAGGGAAGGACCCTTCCGACACAGAGGAACAGTGCTGGAGAAAGACAGGCGATGGGGCCCACCCTCCTGGGGTGTTTCCCCAGGCTCTTGCCCTTGGGTTTCTCAAGAGGACCCCCTGATGGGGTCTCTGCATCTGCTGGTCGGTCATCTGCATCTTCGACTCTTCTCTCTTCTCAACCCTTTCTCTGGGGAAGCCGCTGTCCCTTCCTGGGCATCAGCCTGAAGCCAGGGGACCGGGGAGAGGGGCATTCTGGGGCTTGGGGAGGGGGCCACAGCTGCTGACCTGGGCATGTGGGAGGGCCGTCCCCTGCCCACCCACCTGCCAGCTGTACCAACACCTGGAGCCATCTCCCAAGACATGCTCTTCTCCCTAGTCTCAGTCTGGGGGCCCAAGTGGCTGCCTCCAAGTGAGGGGCTAGGAAACCCAGCCCGACCCCCTCCTTCTGAGGGCCTGTATGGGGGCGAGAACTCCGAGCTCAGCACTTTCCTCTCTGTTTCTTCTGGAAGGTTTTTCTCCTCCTTGCTGATGCCTCTGCCACCTCTTGGTTGTGGGGGTGGGAAGGGGGCGGCGATTGGGGCCTCTGCTGCCCCACTCCAAGTGCCGGACAAAGTCTTGCATTCCACCAGATGCCTGGGAGGGTTTCAGAGTTTCCTAAAGATGAGGTGGCGTCCCTCCCCTTTCAGCCCAAGCTCCCCCCGCCCCCTGCCTCCCCCCGCCGCCGCCTCCTCTGTCTCCAGCCCTCAGTCCTGGCCAAGGAGGCCCGGCCAGGCTGGGAGGAGACCCCCAAGCACATTCTTCCTCTCACTGTCATGCTGCAGAAATTAAAGACACATCTTCGGGCTGGGCGACCGCCAAGCATTTCAAGCCATAAAGTGGTAGGAGAGGCCCCGGCCTCCGCTCGGTGCCACGTGTGACGGGCGCTTGGGAAGCATCTGCCCAAGGGTCCTGGACACAGAGGCAGCAGCTGCCTCACAGCACACACCACGGGGAACCCCACAAACACCCCCCAGCACCCCACAACACACTCCCCCTCCACCCAGACCTCGAAGGTGCCCTCCGGAGAGCCCTTCACGTGGGGGGAGGGCTGCTTGCAGAAACCACAGTCTTCAGGGTCTGATCAAGCCCTGCGACGCCCCAACAAGACAAGCACCCCAAATGTCTGCTTCCCCAGAGGGAGCAGACCCTTGTCCCCTGGTGGGGTGGGGGGAACCCTTGGAACTGAGCCCCTCAGGGGAGGGGAAGGCAGGATGCTGGTGGGTCCAGGAGTTACCATCTGAACACCTCAGTCCCCCAGGCCTGCCTGCCCTCGCTGGCCCTAGGCAGGGGCTGATGCTGGGCCCCAAGCTACTGCCACATGGTCAGGATAATTGATGAAGGCTCCCCATCACTGTCTCCAGCCCCGCCTCTCTGGAAACGCTATATTTTCCCTTTAATTATAGTCCCCAAAGTCTCCCTGTGTCGCCCCGCCCGCCCCGCTCATCGTGGCTGCCCACGGCCTACGTGGCTCCCTCGGCTTCTGTTCCTGAAGTCTCTCTCCCCCCTTTGCCCTCGTTGCACAAAACCAGCTGAGGGAGGGTGTGGAGTGGAGCGGGGGAGTGGGGGGGGGATGCAATGGAATCTTGGATGGTTTAGGGGAGGCGGGCCTCCCCTCGTCCACGTCCACGTTTGCAGCTCTGAAGTGACTTGGGGGAGGGGGAGCTGTGCAGGAGGAAGAGGAGCTGATGGCAAAGGAGCCTTCCCTGTCCCCCCTGCTGCCTCCACTGGGACCACAGATTTGGGCCTCATGACAACGGCCCGGCTAGACCAGAGCTGAGGGCAGAGCACTGTTGGGGGGGGGGGTAGAACACTTGGGGAAGGAGAGGGGGACCCCCATCTTCTGGAGGCATCTCCAAATATCACCCAGGAAATCAACTCCCACCCCAAAGCACTCGGCTGTTCTTGGGGTCCCCATCCCTGGTCCCCATCTCTTTCCTGTGGGTCCAGGGCAGAGAGCAATGGCTGAATGTTCAGGGGAAAAGTGGGGCCATGGGACATGGCCCCTAAAATAAAGTCACTTATCCCCCTTCCCTGCCATTTCACCCCAAACTCCCAAGTTCTCTCTGCATCCCGTCCTTGAGTGCAGAGACTTATCGATGCTGTGGCTGAAGAAGACACTCATGTGTGATGGAGCTGACTGGGCAGGGGGCTAACCAGCTCCTGGCCATAAGCCCCTCTCTAAGTCACCTTTGAAACTCACACCTCGCCCTCTACAGCCTGCCCCACCACTCAACGCTATCCCTCAAAACCCAGCTTCCTTCTGAAGGGTCTGTGCCACCCCTCCTCCCAGCAAGCCCCTCAGCCTCCCACAACCACCTCAGTCATGTCAGGCCAGCCAGGGCATCCTAAATTTAAAACAAAACTGCCTTGCCAGCCACCCCTCCTCCAATACCGGATTCTCAATGTCTGTAAAGGAATATCTGACCTGTTCCCCAGAAGTTTGCAGAAAAGACCCCCCCAAACAGGGACATCTTTTGAATCCCCTGATTCTCCTGTTTGGGGGTGCACCACCACTGAGCCCTTTACACCCACCCCTGGCTCTTCCCAAGGAGGCCTCTCTCTAAGCCAGGAGGGTCCCTAAGGCAAGACTGGGAGGACCCCTCCCACCCACTTCTCTCTTTCCACTTTGGGTCCAGCTCCTTTAGACTGAAGTTCTTGAAAATGCCCAAGGGGCACCCATGCCCACTCCTAAGCCCACCCCACCCTGAAGACCCAGTCGCATCTCTGGACAGGGCTAGGCTGGGGGCTGGGGAAGCAGAGCCCTGAAACGGGGAGCTGGGGGGGTGGGGGGGTGGGTTCCTTTCCCTGTCTTCCCTCCTCCTCCCCCTCTCAGTTCCAGCTCCCAAACTGGGGGCCGGGCCAGACTGTCCTGATTGGCTGGGGGGCGGGCAGCCGGCTCCCCCTGTCCGAGGGGCAGGGTTCCTCCCTGCGCTCCACCGGGAGGGTATAAAAAGGGCCAGGGCCAGGCATCGGGGCAGACGGCAGTTCTCCTCCAGGTCGGAGCAGGAGGCACACGGAGAGTGAGGCCACGCATGAGCGGACGCTAACCCCCCACCCCAGCCGCAAAGAGTCTACATGTCTAGGGTCTAGACATGTTCAGCTTTGTGGACCCCCGGCTCCTGCTCCTCTTAGCGGCCACCGCTCTCCTGACGCACGGCCAAGATGAGAGCTTAGACGGAGACAGTAAGTCCCAAATTTTGGGGGGTCCTGGGCTACTTGCACCAGACCGTGTGTGTGTGTGTGTGTGTGTGTGTGTGTGTGTGTGTGTGTGTCCGGGTCGGTCTCGGTCTCGGTCTCGGGTTGCGCCGAAGACTCAGGGATGGGAGGGAGATGGTGAGGGGACCTTCCCTGTTCCCGGGAGAGAAGGGGGTTCACTTTGGGGTGAGAGTGGGGCCGATGTCCCCAGGCGTGGGAGATGAGGATGGAGCGCGGAGCGCCTTGGCGCTGGGAGAGCGTTGCGAGCGCGGGCTGCACATTGCCACAGAGAGGAAGTGGGGGGGTCTCAGTGTGGGGGGTGGGGGGAAAGGCACGTCGAAGATGGTGTGGGGGCCGAACTTCGATTCGGAGCCCAAGAAGAAAAAGCAATCAGGAAGGCTGTGGGATGATTCATACGGAAAGATTGTTCGCCCTCTCTGCAGGCTAGACGGCGTTCCCGCGGCCACGGGGGCGCGGGGGAGGGGGTGCGGGCGGGGGCGGGCTGGAGGCTGAGCCTCCGGCGAGGGCCGTGCGGGGCGGGGTCGGCGCGCCCCCTGATGACTAAGACCAGGCACGGCGGCTCCCGAGCGCGCATCCCGCGCAGGGGCCGGGGCCGGGGCCGCAGGCCTGGGCTGTTGCTGCCCGTGGGCCCCGTCTCTTGGTCTAGAGAAGAAAGAAGATGGGGGAGCCCTTGTCTCCAAACCCAAACTCAGACCACACCCGTTGGGGCCGCTGCGGTGCCGACTCTTAGTGACCTGATAGGATAGGGTGCGGCTCGATGTCCCAGGACCCTGGTTCCCAAGACTGTGGCAGATAGATTGCCACGTCTTGTCCCCCGGAACGACTGGCAGATGAGAAATGCCGGCCTTGGGTGGCAAGCCCAGCGCTCCACCCCTGCGCCACCAGGACGCCTCTTTAAAAAGCCGCTAGTCCCGGGAAAGGGGCCGCACCGCGGCCCCATTGCTTGGCGTGGCGCGCCACCGAGTGGCCGTCTGCGTGGCGGGGGTCCCTAACTCGATTACCATTTGCGGACTTTTCGGACGAGCTGGCTGGCTTTGGGAGACGCGGTTGGCCCCAGAGCAGGGTTTTGAGGTGTCTTCGCGGTGGAGGGTAGGATGTATCCTACTTTTGAGGTGCAGCGGGCCGGATTCCACTTTAATCAGTCCCGCCCACTCTTCTGCCCCGCCCACGCCATCCCACCTGCCTAGGGATGGGGGTGGGCTGGAGTGGGGAGGTGGCGGGGATGGGGCTGGCCCCGCCCCCTGACCCCTCCCACCCACTCTGCGCCGTATCCACCCAGGCCCAGGCCACGCCCCACCAGCCTACCCTCTCCGTAGGGGCTCCTCCAGCTCTCCCCTCCCCACCCCTCAGCCCCAAGTCCTTTTATTGCCCTTGGCTGGGCGGCTGGGAGCTGAGGTTGCAATTGGAAGCCAAGGTCCTAAAGCTGGGCTTAAATTCCTCAGCCCGTGCAAAGGGCTACGGTGGCTCTGGCCCGGCGCCTCGGCGTTGTCACCGGCGCTGATGGGAAGCAGATGAGCTTTTAAGGATTTGAGAAACGGAAAAACAAAAAAAAGGGGAGGCGAGAGGTGGAAACATCTAAGTGTGTTTCTCACGCAATGGGGAAGGGTTGGGACCCCCGGAGCCCCCACGGTGGGATGGGGCGCAGCTGACAGCCCGCCCCGCCCCCTCCGCCCTGCCCTAGTCCCCTCACTCTCCTGCGTCCAAGACGGGCTCAAGTACAAAAACCGCGATGTCTGGAAGCCCGAGCCCTGCCGGATCTGCGTCTGCGACAAAGGCACCGTGTTATGTGATAAAGTGACGTGCCCCGATAACGACAAATGTCCAGGCGCCATCAAAAACCCGGGAGAGTGCTGTGCCATCTGCCCCGACGGCGAGGGTAGGGCGAGCCCCTGGGGCGGGGCGGGGCGGGGCGAGGAGGGTCCCGACCTCGCTCCTCCTCCAGGCCTGGGCGGCGGGCGCAAGGGGAGCGGAGCACGCCCCTCACCCGATTCTCCTCTTCCCCTAGCTTCACCCACCGACCAAGAAACCACAGGCGTAGAGGTGAGAGCTCTCCCTGCCCTAGAACTTGCCACCCCGCCTGTGACTCCTTGTGCCCTCCCTTCTCTAACCGGCCTTCATGGTTTCTCCCTCCCAACCCCGCAGGGACCCAAAGGAGACACTGGCCCCCGGGGCCCCAGGGTAAGCCGCCCTGTTCAGGGTTAATGAGGGCTGCAGGGAGAGGGGAGGCAGGGGCGTGGCTCCTGTCCGAATCTCACGGGGTTTCACCCCTCTCTCTCCAGGGACCTGCAGGACCCGCTGGCCGAGATGGTATCCCAGGACAGCCCGGACTTCCCGGACCCCCCGGACCCCCCGGGCCTCCTGGACCCCCTGGTCTTGGAGGAGTAAGTGGACACTAGAGACCCCCAACTGTGGGACGCCTTCTGTTTTTCTCCAGTTCCCTGGGCCCCGCCCCCTGCACATGACCACTTGATATTTTTTAATCATTTCAAGCACGGAAAGCAGCTGTAAGAATAATTGAAAGAGCTCTCACTGTGTTGGTATTTTACTCCCCCTCATCCCCCTCTTTCTGAATGATTTGAGAATCATTTTGCTGGTATCATCTTTTTGCTCCTAAAATACTTGGGTGCTGTTTCCTAAGAATGGGGACCCGCTCTCGCATGATCACAGCATGATCTAACCTGGAGTCCACAGCCCCATTTCACCAGCGCCTCAGCAATGTCCTTTCCAGCCCTGCAGCTAGCTCCCTCGTGCAGGAGCAGCTCTAAGACCCTGGACTCGGACTGTCTTTTTCATTTCGTTTCTGGTCATCTGGAGCACCCTTTGGCCTTCCTTGGCCTTCCCTGAGACGGGCATTTTTTAAACAGTTGGGGTCCTGTTGTTCTGTATGTGGTCCCTCAATTTGGCTTTGTCCCGGGTGTCCTCCTGTGATTAGACTCAGAGGATCGCACACATCATCAGTCAGTCGTTGTACTTTTCAGCCCACTCATGCTGTCTCTCTCTCTTGTTTTTGTTGCTTTTTTTTCTAGAACTTTGCTCCCCAGATGTCTTATGGCTATGATGAGAAATCAGGTGGAGGAGGGTTGTCTGTGCCGGGCCCCATGGTGAGCCACCCAAGGGGGCAGGGGGGAACGGGAACGAAGAGGAGTTGGGGATTCAGAGGGGATGGGCCAGTGGTGGGGACATACACTATCTTGGGAGGCAAAGACCATCCACAGGACCTCAAGTCCCAAGGAGACACAGCATAAGCAAGTGCTCCCAGCAGGAATCCCTGGGAAATAGCAAGGCAGCATCCATGTGATGTGGTCCTGCTGACGTGTCACCATGGCCTCCTTTCTTCTCCTTCTCTAGGGTCCCTCTGGTCCTCGTGGTCTCCCTGGCCCCCCTGGTGCACCTGTGAGTATCTCAGATGTCTTTACAACCCTTTGAGCCTTGGACCTTTGGGAGGGAGGACCAGGATGAAGGGAGGGAGGGTGCTTGGCTATCTCTTGGTGAGATAGGGGGGACCTTGACAGAGACTGCCTTCCTAACCCCACCTCCTGTCTCTGTTCTCCAGGGTCCCCAAGGTTTCCAAGGTCCTGCTGGTGAGCCTGGCGAGCCTGGAGCCTCAGTAAGTGCCCCCGCCCCCTGCCTCCAACATATCCTCTCTAGACACAGCCCTCCACTACCTCCTGGCTTCTGCTGTTGAAGGGGCCTTCCCTCGTCTGGTCTGGGAAGGTCTTCCTCACTTCCCCTTTCCAATTCTAATCTGTCCCTTCTTTCATCTCCATCCTGGTCATGCGAATCTCCTTTCTTCCTATCTCCTCTAGGGTCCCATGGGTCCCCGTGGCCCCCCTGGCCCCCCTGGCAAGAACGGAGATGATGTAAGTAGCCTCCATGAGAAGATCCCACCTGACTCCCACCACCTCTCCACCCTGGTGCCCCCAACTGCTTTGGCGGATGGTCCCCCAGTGGAAGGAGGGCCCCCTCACCACAAAGAACTGCCTAGCCCCGCCCCCTTGAAACAATTCCCAGCCTAATCCAGAAGGGAGTAGCTTCTAGGTGCTTAGCCCTCTGGGCACCTCTTGTGTGTTCTCTATCTGATGAGATGCAAACACCCAGGACAGAAATTCCTTCTGGGAGATTCAAATGCCATCAAATGAGGGTTTCACACACTGAGCTGTGGATTCCAAGAGATCCTGGCCCCTCAGCCTGACCCCCCCACCGTTCCCCAAAGACTCAGGTTCTCCTCACTTTCCCAGCCCAGGGGGTCATGGGTGTGGTGGCTTTTCCTCTCCTTTCCAGGGTGAAGCTGGAAAGCCTGGTCGTGCTGGCGAGCGTGGACCTCCTGGGCCTCAGGTGAGCAGGGGTGGAGAGACCCAAACCCTGCGGCTGCCCTGCACTGAAGTTCCATGGAACTTCAGTGTCCACTGCATTGTCCTTTAACAAACCCTCCTTTGTCCCAGGGTGCTCGGGGATTGCCCGGAACAGCTGGCCTCCCTGGAATGAAGGGACACAGAGTGAGTCCTCTTTGATTAACCCAAGCTCCCATCATTCCAACCCCTTCCCCCATAGCATTCTGGTATGTGTCCCGGGTGGGCACAGGGCAGAAATCCCAGGAGGTATTCTCTCCATGGAGGAAGGAGTGCCAGTCAAACGACTGGGAGAGATCTTGCACCCGTTGGGGTTTAGTCTGGCTCAGAGGCCGGGAGATAGCTGGCCCCGGAGGGTCTGGGTGGGTCTCAAGATGGTCTGCACCTCCTCCGGGGTCTCACCCTGGTCCTTCTCCATCTTAGGGCTTTAGTGGTTTGGATGGTGCCAAGGGAGATTCTGGTCCTGCTGGTCCCAAGGTAAGAGCTTGTTGGTGTGGTGGGGCCCCCCACCTGCCCCCAGTCCCACTAGGAACGGATCCCTTACCACTCAACTTTCTCTGCTGTAGGGTGAGCCTGGTAGCCCTGGGGAAAACGGAGCCCCTGGCCAAATGGTGAGTGCATTCAGTCTAGAAGGGAGGGAGGGGAGCAGGGTGTTGGGACAAAGGGGAGACCTGAAGGTAGTGGGGGTGTTCCCATCTCACTTGGCATCTCTTGGTTTTCTACTCAGGGTCCCCGTGGTCTGCCTGGTGAGAGGGGTCGTCCTGGAGCCCCTGGACCTGCTGTAAGTATTCTTGGCCTCTTGGGGTGGGGGTGGGGGTGGGGAGGTAGTCCTGGGCCCCAGAAGGGGATCCCCAGGACTGCAGAGACTGCCTGTGTTCTGTGGACCTCACCAGGGCTTTCTCCCTCCTGCAGGGTGCTCGAGGCAATGATGGTGCTACTGGTGCTGCTGGACCCCCTGTGAGTGTGGCTCAGGGAGGGGGAAGGGTCTGGGGGCAGCTCTCCGGGCAGCAAGGACATGTTCTGAACCCCAGACTGGGACTTGCACCTGCCTCCTTCCTCCTCATCAGCGTCTCCATTTCCTTCCCAGGGTCCCACTGGCCCCGCCGGCCCCCCTGGCTTCCCTGGTGCTGTTGGTGCTAAGGTGAGTCCCCTCCCTCCCTCTGAGCAGAGGGGTGCTGTCTCTCTGCTCCCCAAACCAGAGGGACCCAGAGTGGCAAGAAAAGCCCATTTCCCCACACTTCTATCCTGAGACCCCTCTTGGTCCTGGAGCCTCCTAGCCTGGCCTTCCCGCCCTGCTCCATGCAGAGGGAAAGCTCCCCCACCACCACCACCCCGCCCCCCAGGGCTGCTGCTGACGCATCTTTTCTCCCAATCCAGGGTGAATCTGGTCCCCAAGGGACCCGAGGCTCTGAAGGTCCCCAGGGTGTTCGTGGTGAGCCTGGTCCCCCTGGCCCTGCTGGTGCTGCTGGCCCTGCTGTGAGTGTCCCCCTTCAGTGTCCCCTGTGTCACGCTCTGCGCTCAGAAGCCCTGGCCTGCCACTCACCCTCCTTTCTCTGTGCCACAGGGAAACCCTGGTGCTGATGGACAGCCTGGTGGCAAAGGTGCCAATGTAAGTCCCCCACGAGCTCCCAGTCCTGCCCACCAGGCCCTCTGCCCATGCCCTCCTCTGGCGTCTTCAACCATCTTCTCTGCCCCTTTCAGGGTGCTCCTGGCATTGCTGGTGCCCCTGGCTTCCCCGGTGCCCGAGGCCCCTCTGGACCTCAGGGCCCCAGCGGCGCTCCTGGCCCCAAGGGTAACAGTGTAAGTACCGCCTCTTTGCCTCTGCCCCAGATGGTGCCCGGCTCCAGTGTGGCCACCTGAGCCCCCAGCCCTCGGCTCACCCCCTTCTCCTCCTCCTGCAGGGTGAACCTGGTGCTCCTGGCAACAAAGGGGACGCTGGCGCCAAGGGAGAACCTGTGAGTCTCTGGCCACCCTCCTGCAGCTCATGCCTGGGAAGCCCTTGAGGGAGCTCTGAGGGGACTCCTCCCCACCTACCACAGGAGCCTTCTGGGGGTGGAAGGCCAGCCTCACCCAGGTCACCTCTTCTTTGCCTCCTCCAGGGTCCCACTGGTGTTCAAGGCCCCCCCGGCCCTGCTGGTGAAGAAGGCAAGCGTGGAGCCCGAGGTGAACCCGGGCCCAGTGGCCTGCCCGGCCCCCCTGGCGAGCGTGTGAGTACCCACGGCCTGTCCCCCTCCCATCCAGGGCCCGGTGTCCCTGAGCTCACTGGCCTCCTCTCTCCTGCAGGGTGGACCTGGGAGCCGTGGTTTTCCTGGTTCCGATGGTGTTGCTGGTCCCAAGGTAAAGTCTCCTGGAGGCCAGGAAGCTGACCCAGCCATCCTCCCTGGCACTGCCTTCCTCGTCCACTTACACACCACACACACACACACACACACACACACACACACCATGTCATCAGTGCTTCATGCTGGGGCTGAAGGTGGACTGCTTTCACCTTTCAAAGCCCACCTGAGGCCCAGACTTGGGATGCTAATTATTGTCCCCATGTCTTCCCACCTCCCCCAACCAGGGTCCCGCTGGTGAGCGTGGGTCTCCTGGCCCTGCTGGTCCCAAAGGTTCTCCTGGTGAATCTGGCCGTCCTGGTGAAGCTGGTCTGCCTGGTGCCAAGGTGAGCCCCCTCCCACCCCACCCCACCCCACCCCCACCCCCGCCCCAGCCCCGCCACTTGCCTTGGCTAGGCCTCTGCCCGCCCTGGGGGTAGGGGTTCCAGATAGGAGCCAGGCCACTGGGTGCGCCCCCCTCTCTCCTCTCCCTCCTCCCCACCATCCCCTGCACCCCCTTAACCTCTCTCTGTTCCCCAGGGGCTGACTGGAAGTCCTGGCAGCCCTGGTCCTGACGGCAAAACCGGCCCCCCTGTAAGTCTCGCCTCCCCCGGCACCCTCCCACTCCCCCACCTGCCCACTCCCTGGCCTCACCACAGCCTTCTTGTCACCATCTTTAGGGCCCCGCTGGTCAAGATGGCCGCCCTGGACCCCCAGGCCCCCCCGGAGCTCGTGGTCAGGCTGGTGTGATGGGATTCCCTGGCCCGAAAGGTGCTGCTGTAAGTACTTATTGATAGAGACCCAGGCCAAGAGCTGGGCTCTGCCCCTTTCTGGGCCTTAGTTTCCAGATCTGTAAAATGATGGTCCCTGGACATGGAATCGGTGGTGTCTCCACCACCTGCAGGGCCTTTTAGGATCCTCACGCTCAAACCTTAAGTGGGGTTCTAGGTGGTACCAGAAGGACATGGAAGCTCTATGCAACTCAGGGCCCCTCTGACCAGAGGGGAGAGGAGGAAGGAGTCTGAGAGGGGTCTGGTTTGCGGGAGAGGCTGGAGGATTTAGCCATGGAGCCAGGGAAGGCATCTCCCCAGGGGTCACAGCTTCTCAGGAAAACATGTGGAGCCTTTTAAGGCAGGAGAAGCCCTTTGAAAATCCACTCCCGTGAACAGGTGGGACTATAGCCTCCTGTCCCCACGTCAGCCCACTCAGGCCTCTCTCCCTCTCCCCACAGGGAGAGCCCGGCAAAGCTGGAGAGCGTGGTGTACCCGGAGCCCCCGGTGCTATTGTGAGTATCTCCTTTTGGTCCAACCCCACCCCTCTCCCTGCAGCCCACCCAGCTCACCACCCTGAGTTCTTTGTTCTCTTCCCACAGGGTGCTGCTGGCAAGGACGGAGAAGCTGGTGCTCAGGGTCCCCCTGGCCCTAGCGTAAGTGCCCTTGACTGGCTGTTTGGGAAGGGGTGCTGAGGGACAGGGCAGCGGCCCCTCCTGCTCCCTCGTCTCCACGGCCTTCCTGACCTCCGCCTTCTCCCCGTGGCAGGGCCCCGCTGGCGAGAGAGGTGAACAAGGTCCTGCTGGCTCCCCCGGATTCCAGGTGAGGGCTTGGAGCTGTCGGGGTGTGTGTGTGGGGGGGTGGAATTGGGGGGGGGCAGAGCACCCCCTCTGTCTCTTCCAGATTCTAAATCTTCTTCTTTCCTACCCCAACTCCCACCTCCAGGGTCTCCCTGGCCCAGCTGGTCCCCCCGGCGAATCCGGCAAACCCGGTGAACAGGTGAGAGTGCAGACACACAGAGGCGGAGACTATCCGCATTCACAGAGAGGTTAGACACTGGGAAGGACTTCCTGCCAGGAAGAGAGTTCGGTGGAAGGAAGCAGAGTGACTACTCTGTGTGATGATATCATCTGGGAGGGGCCTGGCGACCCCCAGGCTGGGCGACTTCTTTTTAGAGCTTGTTGAATCCTCTCCTTGATTTCCCAAGCCTTCAGGTTATCATTGGAGGCCTTGCAGAGGGGTGTATGTGTGTGTGTTTGGGGGGGGGGGGCTGTCTTTGATTCACCAAGGAGGACCCTGAAGACTAGCACCACAGAGAGGGGATGAGAGAGCTCTCTAGGGGACCCCCATCGGCTTTGCTCACAGGGTGTTCTCCTGTCCTCCCTCGCAGGGTGTGCCTGGAGACCTCGGTGCCCCCGGCCCCTCTGGAGCAAGAGTAAGTACAGGCTGCTTCCCTGTTCCCCACAGCGCCCTGGGCTCGCCCTGCTCCCCAGCAGCCATCATGCACCCTGTGTTTCCCTTCTAGGGCGAGAGAGGTTTCCCCGGCGAGCGTGGTGTGCAGGGCCCCCCTGGTCCGGCCGGTCCCCGTGGCTCCAATGGCGCTCCTGGAAATGATGGTGCTAAGGTGAGGCCTCTCAGCAGCCCAGGAGCCAAGGCTGGCTGGCTGCGACCACAGACATCTGCATGGGGAGTGACAAGACTGGTGGTGGTGGGGGGGACACACAGTCCCAAGTGCCGGTCTTGCCTCTTCCTTCCCTGGGGCCGGTCTTGGCCTCAGACGGAGCCTGGAACACATTGAGAGGGGCTCACAGCCCTGAGCTCACTCCCGTCTTCTTGGTTGTCATCTAGGGAGATGCTGGTGCTCCTGGAGCCCCCGGTAGCCAAGGTGCCCCTGGCCTTCAGGGAATGCCCGGTGAACGTGGTGCAGCTGGTCTTCCAGGCCCCAAGGGTGACAGAGTGAGTCGGCCCCTCTCCCCTCAGCCCTGTGTGGCCCCTCCCTTCTCCTTGCCTGAGGCCTCTCAGCCTTTCTACTGCCCCCCAGCATCTTCCCACTTCTCCTTAAAGCTCCCTCCTTCCCCTCTAACCGCTTTGCCAAAGAACCCTGTACCTGAGGTTACCTTCTATGCCACTCCCCCCACCCCACCCCCATGCTCCCTTCTCTACTGTCCGAGCATCTCTACCTCCGAGTTGCCATGGCGATGAGATGGAAACCTCCTTATCCACACTGCTCTTCAGTCAAAGGCCACTTCATCTGACTCCCACATCGAGCCCCTAAAAAGATCGTGGGTCCTCAGCACACACTGGGGATCTCAGAGGTCCCAAACAGCAGGACCCAGACACAGGTGGCTTCTGGGTGCCACATGGGCGTCTCAAGCTTTTTTGGCCTGTCTTTAGGGCGATGCTGGTCCCAAAGGTGCTGATGGTTCTCCCGGCAAAGACGGCGTCCGTGGTCTGACTGGCCCCATTGGTCCTCCTGGCCCTGCCGGCTCCCCTGGTGACAAGGTGAGTTCCTAACACGCAGCTTCTCCAGCACACCTCTGCAGGTTGGGCCAGCCCTGCTGTCCTGAGCTGACTGTGGAGGGAAACTGGAGCACCAGGGAGGAGGGGTGTCTCTTCTGGAGTCACCACCTGACCAGAGCCCTCTGTCCTCCTCCGTAGGGTGAATCTGGTCCCAGCGGCCCTGCTGGACCCACTGGAGCCCGCGGTGCCCCCGTAAGTGCAGGAACCCCCGGTTGTGGGCTCTGTGCCTCAACTCTGTTCCCAACCACCTTCCGCGGTTGGAACACCCCACCAAATTTGCTTCCTTCTCTTTCAGGGAGACCGTGGTGAACCTGGTCCTGCCGGCCCTGCTGGCTTCGCTGGCCCCCCTGTGAGTCCCAAGACCCCCCCTTCATTTTCAATCACCCACAGGGGGCTGGGACCCCAAACAACAGAGGAGGCCAGAAGCTTTAGCCCGAGTCGGGGAAGAGGGGCTATCAGCCACTCAGGCATCTCCCTGTCTCTAGCTCCCGCTCCTTCCTCAGCTGCATGGGACCTTCCAGCTCCCTGCAACACTCCCCACCCTCTGCTGATCACAACCCTTCTCCCCCAGGGTGCTGATGGCCAACCTGGTGCTAAAGGTGAACCTGGTGATGCTGGTGCTAAAGGAGATGCTGGCCCCCCCGGCCCTGCTGGACCCACTGGAGCCCCTGGCCCCATTGTGAGTATCCCCTTCCCCTGCCCCGAGCTGCTGCTGGCAGGTCCCAGCCACACCTTGACGGCTCTCTGCCCTCCTGCAGGGTAACGTCGGAGCTCCTGGACCCAAAGGTGCCCGTGGCAGCGCTGGTCCCCCTGTGAGTGCCCCCTCCTACTCAGCACCCCCACAAGAGGCACTGGGAGGTGGGCGGCCTGACCAAGGCATTGTCCACCCTCCTTCCGACGCCTCCTCCCCTCTCTCTGCCAGGGTGCTACTGGTTTCCCTGGTGCCGCTGGCCGCGTGGGCCCCCCTGGCCCCTCTGTAAGTACCTGGGGGGTGGGCGTGGGTTGTCGGGGGTGGTCGGCGGGCGGAAGCCTCAGGTGGGCTTTCAGAGTCCACTGGAGTCCAATGCCCCCCCCTCCCTTTCAGGGAAATGCTGGACCCCCTGGCCCTCCTGGCCCTTCTGGCAAAGAAGGCGGCAAAGGTCCCCGTGGTGAGACTGGCCCTGCTGGACGCCCCGGTGAAGTCGGCCCCCCTGGTCCCCCCGGCCCATCTGGAGAGAAAGGATCCCCTGGTTCTGATGGACCTGCGGTAAGGGGGTGCTCAGATGGCAGCAGCCCCAGAACCCCCTGTACCCCTACACGGCGCCTGACCCTTCCTTGTCTGCCCCGCACAGGGTGCTCCCGGAACTCCTGGACCTCAGGGTATTGGTGGACAGCGTGGTGTGGTTGGCCTGCCTGGTCAGAGAGGAGAAAGAGGCTTCCCTGGTCTTCCTGGTCCTTCTGTGAGTGTCCTCTCTCCATGGCGACCCTGAAAACAGCCACCACAGGATTCAAGGGTGGTGGAGGAAGGCACCTTAGGGTGCTGGGCCCTCTCCCACCCGATCTCTGGCCTGACCTCTCTTCTCCCTCAGGGCGAACCCGGCAAACAAGGTCCTTCTGGCTCCAGTGGTGAACGTGGTCCCCCCGGCCCCATGGGCCCCCCTGGATTGGCCGGACCTCCTGGTGAATCTGGACGAGAGGTGAGCTGCCCCTGCCCTCGCCCTCAGCGCAGCCGCCCGGCCCAGGCCTGATCCTCCTCCCCAGCCTAAGTCTCACTGCCCCCTCTCTGCAGGGCTCTCCCGGTGCTGAAGGCTCCCCTGGACGTGATGGCTCTGCTGGCCCCAAGGTGAGATCACTCCATTGCTGGCCTGCAGCCCCTCCTGTCCTCCCCAGGCCCAGCCTGCCCCTCCGCTGGGGCTGACCCTGCCCCATCCTCTCCCCACCCCCCAGGGTGACCGTGGTGAGACTGGCCCTGCTGGACCTCCTGGTGCCCCTGGTGCTCCTGGTGCCCCTGGCCCCGTTGGCCCTGCTGGCAAGAACGGTGACCGTGGCGAGACCGTAAGTAACTGGCCCTAGCTCCCTGCTCCCAGGGAAGTACTCCCCAGGCGGAGGGCAGGCTGCTGGCCTCACCCAGGCAGCAGTAGGGAGGACTCTGGGATCCCTGGATGCCATCTTCCCAGGAGCGGAGCTGGTCCCAGACACTGTGGAGTCAGGGGAGAGATGGTCACAGCTGGGAGGGGTCAGCCGGGGAATCTCATCCTGCTCCTCCGGCTGCCTGCCCAGCCTCCCTGACTGGCATCTAATGCTCTCTTTTCTCTCTCCAGGGTCCTGCCGGTCCTGCTGGTCCCATCGGCCCCGTGGGCGCTCGTGGCCCCTCTGTAAGTGCTCTGCTCTGCCCCCTTCCCTGGAACTCTGTCACTGTGGGGACTGTGCCTCTCTCGGTACTCACAGCCTGTCACTGCTGTCTTCTAGGGACCCCAAGGTGCCCGTGGTGACAAGGGTGAGACTGGCGAGCAGGGTGACAGAGGCATGAAGGGTCACCGTGGCTTCTCTGGTCTCCAGGGTCCTCCTGGTCCCCCCGTGAGTAGGCTTCAGCCCTCCAGCTGCTGTGGAGTAGCCCCCACACTGTGCATCCTGATGCTGGGTGCATTGCCTCAGTCTCCCCCACTGCACAGTCCTGCTGACACCACCCTCCCCGGGCCTGGGGGCTAGAGATGTGTGGGAGGGTGAGGGGTGACTAGAGAGAGCTTGTGGGAGGGGGTGTCAGTCTGGGCACAACGTGGGGCTAGATTTCCAGAAAAACCAGATGGGCGGGGAGAGAGAGGGCAGGTTGTCCTCACGGGCTGCCCCTGAACTTCCTGAACTGCCAGGCCTGAATTGCCTTGTGTCTGTCCTTAAGGGCTCTCCTGGTGAGCAAGGTCCCTCTGGAGCTTCTGGTCCTGCCGGTCCCCGAGTAAGTGGCCTCCTCTGTCTTCTGGATCCCAAGCTCTGGTTCACCTGGGGCCCCTCCCCTTGACACCTATGGCCTTCACCTCTGGGGCAGGGGCGTGGGGGAAAGGAAAAGGAGGCCTAGAAAAGCCATCAGCCCCACCCCCCTGCCTGAGCCCATGTCCTCGTCCCACAAAACGTTTCCTGGCTGAGGTGGGTGGGGGGCTGGACGTCCATCTGTGGGGAGAGAAGGGACAGGCTCCTGCAGAGGGGGAACCGGGGCTGGGGGCTGGAGGCTGGTGGGGAGGGGGGTGGTGTGGGGGGTAGTGTGTGTGGGGAGCTATGTGGCGCTCTCTGGAAGGCTGTCTCTGACCTCCTCCTCCTCTCTTCTCCCCCCAAGGGTCCCCCTGGCTCTGCCGGCTCCCCTGGCAAAGACGGACTGAGTGGCCTCCCAGGCCCCATCGGCCCCCCTGGTCCTCGAGGTCGCACTGGTGATGCCGGCCCTGTGGTACGTAGCCCCGACCCCTTCTGCTCTGCCCTCCATCCTGAGCGAGCGTGGACCCCCGGTAACTCCAACTTTCCTCCCCTCTGCACAGGGTCCCCCCGGACCTCCTGGGCCTCCCGGTCCCCCTGGCCCTCCCAGCGGCGGCTTCGACTTCAGCTTCATGCCCCAGCCACCTCAAGAGAAGGCACACGATGGCGGCCGCTACTACCGGGCCGATGATGCTAATGTGGTTCGGGACCGGGACCTCGAGGTGGACACCACCCTCAAGAGCCTGAGCCAGCAGATTGAGAACATCCGAAGCCCCGAGGGCAGCCGCAAGAACCCCGCCCGCACTTGCCGGGACCTCAAGATGTGCCACTCAGACTGGAAGAGCGGTGAGGCCCCCTGCCTGCTTCCTCCTCCCCCCTCCCCTCCTCCTCCTCCTCCTCCTTGCTAAGCTATTCCTGTCTTCCACACGCGCCCACCGCAGGAGAATACTGGATTGACCCGAACCAAGGCTGCACCCTGGACGCCATCAAGGTCTTCTGCAACATGGAGACGGGCGAGACCTGCGTGTACCCCACTCAGCCCAGCGTGGCCCAGAAGAACTGGTACATCAGCAAGAACCCCAAGGAGAAGAGCCACGTCTGGTACGGCGAGAGCATGACCGACGGCTTCCAGGTGCGTCAGCTGGACTCCGGGCCCTGCCCCGAGGTGGGGGGGCTGCCCAGGAATGGGGGAACCCTGCCCTGAGGGGGGCTAGCCCAGGACTCAGAGGGGCCCTGAGCAAAGGTCCTGGGGTAGGCTAGCCTTCTGCTAAGGGAGATGCTTTGAGCTCATCTGAGCAGCAGGTAAGCTGGGTCCTTGACACTGACCCAGACTCCTAAGTGGACCAGGGATGCCTCCTCCTGACATGGTGCTATTAGGGATGCTCTCAGTCAGGGGACTCAGGGAGAGAAGGCCAGGACCAGAGGGTCCAGCATGGCCGCTCACTCCCTCCCTGCTCTCTCCCCACTGCAGTTCGAATACGGCGGCGAGGGCTCCGACCCTGCTGATGTGGCCATCCAGCTGACCTTCCTGCGCCTGATGTCCACTGAGGCCTCCCAGAACATCACCTACCACTGCAAGAACAGCATCGCCTACATGGACCAGCAGACCGGCAACCTCAGGAAGGCACTTCTCCTCCAGGGCTCCAACGAGATCGAGATCCGGGCCGAGGGCAACAGCCGCTTCACCTACAGTGTCATCTCCGACGGCTGCACGGTGAGCCCCACGGGACCTGACCGCTCCGAGTCCGGGAGGTGGACGGGGGCGTGTGTTGGGACAGGCCCGCATGCCCCTCACTCCATCGCTCCCGCTGGGTAACGCCCCTCTCCCCTGTCTCTCCCTCACCCCCAGAGTCACACCGGAGCCTGGGGCAAGACAATCATCGAGTACAAGACCACCAAGACCTCCCGCCTGCCCATCATCGACGTGGCCCCCTTGGACATTGGTGCCCCAGACCAGGAATTCGGCTTCGACATTAGCCCTGTCTGCTTCTTGTAAACGTCCCCCCCCACCAACTTGGCTCCCTCCCACCCAGCCCAC